CCCACTGACCACCAATGAAAGAGGTGCCCCTTCCTGAAGTGTGGCGGGGGGGCCGGATAAATGGCCTCAGGGGGCCGCATGCTTCCCACAGGCCGTAGTTTGGGGACGCCTGATATATATATTTAATAGTTCCCTGGTTAAATTTATATATATTTTATTTTAATTAGGATAATTGTTTGTTATCCCTTAAATTATTAACTAATTTAATTTGTATCTTTTCACTATTATAAACAATATTAATTATATTTTTTTGAAACTGTTTTATGCATATCCATGAGTGTTTCCTTTGTCTTTAAAAATGGAATTGCCAAGTCAGAGAGTCTGTTCTTTTTCTTTTTTTGAGATGGGTTCTCAACTCTGTTGTCCAGGCTGGAGTGCAGTGGCGTGATCTTGGCTCACTGCGACTTCTGCCTCCCAGGTTCAAGCGATTCTTGTGCCTCAGCCTCCCAAGTAGTGGGATTACAGGTGTGCACCACTCCACCTGGCTAATTTTCTTTTTGAATTTTTAGTAGATACAGAGTTTTGCCATGTTGGTCAGGTTAGAATCTGTTCATTTTAAAGTTTTTATTGTCAGCCTGCCTGTCTGAAAGATTGTCCCACGTTCCAGCCCCACAGCCACGGAGGAGAGAGAGTCCTTTTTTTTTTTTTTTTTTTTTTTTTTTTTTTTGAGACAGAGTCTTGCTCTGTCACCCAGACTGGAGTGCTGGAGTGCAGTGGCATGATCTTGGCTCGCTGCAACCTCTGCCTCCTGGGTTCCAGTGATTCTCCTGCCTTAGTTTCCTGAGCAGTTGGGACTACAGGTGTGTGCCACCATGCCTGGCTAATTTCTTTTTGTATTTTTAGTAGAGAACGAGATTTCTCCATGTTTGCCAGGCTGGTCTCAAACTCCTGACCTCAAGTTATCTACCCTCCTCAGCCTCCCAAAGTGCTAGGATGACAGGCATGAGCCAGTGTACCTGGCAAGTGTTTATTTTTCTGAACTCTTCCCAACTCTGAGTCATTCTTTTGTATCTTTACTAACTGGAGGGAAAAAGAGAAAAGATTTGTTTTCATTTGTGTTTTTTAAATGATTAGAGAGGTTTCCATTTTCCGTTGTTGCTCATTTCTACTTTTGTAAATAGCCTATATGCGTGATTTTCCATTGTTGTTTTTAAAAATTGATTTATAGGAGTCCTCTCTACTCATCTCCCTGCAGAGGCAGATCTGGAATGCCGAGGCCTCTCCCTCACCCATCTCCTTTTTCCCATTGCAGATCTTAAATCTGACCCAGGCCTTGAAAGACAACAAGAGTCCCCTGCACCTCGTCCAGATGCCACCTGTGATTGTTGAGACGGCCCGTTCCCACCAGCGGTCTTCTAGCGAGTCCTACACACAGAGCTTCCAGAGCCGGAAGCCCTTCTTTTCATGGTGGTAGCTCCAGAGGCAGGTGGAGGAAATACTGTCAGAGACTGGTGGGAAGAAGCCAGGGGAGTGGGGTGCAGGAAAAGCCAGAGAAGCCAGTGGAGAGCAGCACCTTTAAGAGTCCTCCCTCTCTGCTTGCCACCCTGCTCAGGGCTTTCCCACCCAGAGGGAGAAGCACAATCAGGACGAGTGAGTGCTCCTTGCCCTTCGGAGTGCTGGGGAGGCTGGAGCTCCACGCACATAATCCAGATGCCTGGGAAGGAGCGTCTCCCTTCCAGCATCTGCTGGTGGCAGGCTGGTACAGTCCATTTCTTCCCTATACCCTGCTCTGTTGCAATTCCCTATTATATTCTGCATCAGAAAAACAAACAAAACAAAAATTTAAATGCTTGTAGCAGAACCCCAGGTCACCTCATGTCCGAAAATCCAGGCTGAAATTTGCATAGACCTGACATTCAGCTGCCTTGCAGTTGCTTCCTCCCATGAGCCAAGGCGGTGTCAGAGGGCACCTGGATGACTTGCAGTACCATAGCACTGGGACAGACAGAAGCCACACCTGTCTTTTGGGTTTTTGCCAAGCCTCCTCCCATCTCCCACCAGTGCTGTGGGCTGGCTGCAAGCCTCCCGACAGTTCTCCTGGAAGGGAGGTTTTTGCTCTACCCCTGCCAGCACTTCTGCACAATCATATAGAACCTCTGCTCTCTGCCATGCTACAGCTTGTCTCTCTCTCAAGCAGAGGCAGGAAGAGTTAGTCTTAGCATTTATATTTTAATAGGAAGTTGACTCCCAGCCTGTAAAAGTGATCCACGAGGCCTGAGTGTATGCCAGGAGCTAAGTGGGTGAACTTATCCCACCTTGCTTCCTGAGTCCTTGGTCCCAATCTTCTCATTTGTTCCTGTCGTTTTTAAATTTTTTTCCCCTCAAGTCTTTTGATGTAAAAGTTCAATTTGTCTTCTGGAGTGGGTCTCTGCGAGGGTTCTGGGGTGAGTCTTGGCTTCTAAGAGGACAGGTTATTACATTCTTGGACTTCTTTCTATGCTACCGATGCTGCTTGGCGGAAGTAACAGGACTTGGATTCTGCCTCCTAAGTGGCAGTTTCCCTTTTCTCCCTGACTTGTCCTAGGCCGGTTTCTCTCTGGCATCCTGAGAAAGGCGGGGCCCACATGAGAGAGGCCTTCAAACTGCCCCAGGTCCTGCCCAGCTCAGTGTGCATCTTCTTGCTTCCATGTGTCTTTTCCCTGCTGCCTCGCCCCCACCCCCACTTGCCAGGTGTTTGAGCCCTTTCTACACCAAAGCAAAGAATGGCCTCAGGAGGGAGTAAAAAGGGTGCCATCTGTAGCTGAGGGGCAGGTATGTTCATGCTCTGGACACTTCACAGATCTGGCACCTTGCGATTGGTCAGTCAGTCTCAGAAGGAAACTATCTTGAAGGTTTGAAAAACAACCAAAGAAAGGGAGTGAGGACTATGGCTGCATGTCCTCTGTTTGCCCAGCTGCAAAGCAGAGGTGTGCAGCCCTCTGGTCAGCTGGTCCAGGCTGGTCCCTGCCAGTTCCCTTCCAGTCTAGCCACCAGGAGCCCTCTTGTCCCAGGCTTCCACCCAGCTGACAGGAAGAGTTTCTGAGAGCCAGATGTGCATGCCCTGTGGACGAAGGCACAGCTCATCTGCCTGCCCCAGCCCTGACAATCCCATGCAGCTGACTCGGGCACTGGCCTTGAGAACAATCTTTGAGAGGACACCTGTCCCCTGACTGTAGGAGCCAGAAGGGGACCCAGGTGTGCATAGCTCTCTAGACATCTTTACACAAACCTGTTGGTAAAGCACCCCATCTGGTGCTCAAGAGAGCTTGGGTGTCTAACAGGGAATCCGGCTACCTTACCTGGCCACAGCCTCCATACCAGATCTGCACATTGTCTTGATCCAGACAAGCTCTGTAATCAGAAGGAAATTGGGTCCAATGTAGAAGCAGGCTGGTCCTGGGCCTGGCAGGCAAGAGTGTGATGCATCCTTTCCCAGCCTTGCTCCACTCTCCCTGAAGCCTATGCTTAGGTTGCCTTGTATGTGGACTCTGGAAGAGCCAGGGGCCCAGAGTGCCAGAGTAGGCTTCTGGGTGGCACTCGTGGAACACCGTCCCTCTGCCAGCCATAGGCCCTGCCCCCAGCATCAGGGAATGGAGGCTGGGTTGCCAGAGTGCTGCTGCCCTGTGTCGTTCTTCTAATTCGCTGTAGAAATTGTACGTAATATATTTAAATCAACCAAATGTATGAATAACAAATCCAGTTCTAACCTTTTTTGTCCAGTTTCTTTGGGGGAAGGAAGACAAAGAAGGTAGGAACAGAGTTTTAAGGACACAGAAACCTGTGTTTCCATGGAGTTGCTGAGACGTGGCTCCTGGGGCTATTTCCCCCTAATAAAGGAAGATCCAGGTCCTCTTTCCAAAGTCCTGATGCTCTGAAAACCAAAAGTATCTTCATAACCCATTTGAAACCAAACCTGACCTGAACCTACACTGATGTGAAGCTATTGGTAATCATCATGTGTCCCTCTTAGTGTCTCTTTCTTGCAGAAATGTTAATATATTTTATGAGATTCCCTACTAGGGATTATACAGTATTTGCCCTATTTCCTAAAAGCCAAAAAATAAAAAATCTGATTTCCAAAATCATCTAGTGCCAAAGGCTTGGGATAAGAAATGTGGACCTACAGGCCAGGCCTGGTGGCTCACACCTGTAATCCCAGCACTTTGGGAGGCCGAGGCAGGTGGATCACTTGAGGTCAGGAGTTTGAGACCAGCCTGGCCAGCATAGTGAAACCTCTTCTCTACTAAAAATAAAAAAATTAGCTAGGTGTGGTGGTTTGCATCTGTCATTCCAGCTACTCAGAAGGTTGAGGCAGGAGGATTGCTTGAACCTGGGAGGCAAAGGCTGCAGTGAGCCGAGATTGCATCACTGCACTCCAGCCTGGGTGAGAAAGCGAGACCCTGTCTCAAAAAATAAGAGGACCTACCTACACAGGTAGTAGTGGCTCCTCCTCAGAGTACATGCCTTGTGTACATCACTGCCCCACTTTGAACCCTGAATAATCAAGCATAGACGGTGGGTGGAGAGGGAGAAGAAAGCTAATGAGCACAGAGTATGCTTCTCTTGAGGTGGAGCTAGAACTGCGGGAAATACCCCTCCCTTCAAGGGTTTCCAGGCCATGGGAGGCCTAAGATATAATGCAGGCAGCTTCAGAACAATTGGTCCACCTTGGGATGATCAGCCCGTAAGGATGAAGAAGCCAAATGAGGAGCTGGCACCACTAGTTTGGCTGCAGATTAAGCCAGCCCAAGGCCCCAGCCTGCTGTGCAGGGCTGGCCATGACAGCCTTCCCCTTTCTCCTCTTGTGGATCAGGACTGCTGTGGTGACTCCTATCTCTACTCTGGATCCAACAGGCTCTGGAAAAGGAGCCTGTGGTCCAGGGGCCCAAGGGCATATGGGTGAAAAAAGAAGAGGGAGGTGAAAAGGAGAGGAGGCCAGCCCTGATTTTTCCTTCCTGGGGATACTCTTGCCCCTCCCACTCTGTTTTGGGTCCTCCCCTTTTGTGACAGACTCACACAGCTCTTGATACAAATGTTTTTATTTGCCACTTAAACCATGGTTTCCCTGTGCTACCCTGATGGTGTGCGGGTGGAACCATGGTTTACAGTAGTAGCAGGTAGATAGTAGCGTGAATGGTGAAATGCTGCATCAAGTGTCTGTCGCTTGGCTCCCAGGGGAATATCATGCAGCCCAGGAATAGTGTTAGATTGAGAAGGGCCGAGGCAGGAACAGTCGCTGTTTCTCCTCATTTTGGTGAGGAATGGGTCCCACATAATGGAGGGCCCAGCAGAAGCATCCAGTTCTGTTCTGAACGGAGCAGGCCAGTGGCAGCCGTCTGTTCCTTCTTCACCTCTGAAGGCCCTGTGGTAAAAGGGAAGATACTGCCATTCCTGGCTCTTTCCCTGGATCAGTGTCTGATCTGGTGGAGGTAGCTTGTGGGGCCTGGCTTCCTCCAGTTCCGGCGGATCCTGGCACTTGTCCTCCTAGAGTGCAGATACTGCTCGCTGGAGGCTGTCTCCGTGGCACTCTGTGGGTCAGCCAGTGGAGAGGGGGGTTCTGGGATTCTGCAGAGAACAAGTGTAAGATTAGCCAACATCAATAGGGAGAATGGGATGGGGACTTGAAGAGACTGTTCATGGTGGACCATAAAACATATTTAGAGCAAAATGAGGCCAGGGCTCTGGGCTTGTCTTTCTGCCTCTGAGAACTATCTGACTAGACAAAGTTTGCAGATTTTTCTGCAGTAGAAAGCATTAGACTGGATCAGGGTATGCAAAACTTGACATTTCTTCATCCTCATCCTGTACTCATGGCAGATGTCGTTAATCGGTCATACTATTAAACTGGTTTTAAACAGTGACTGCTAATCATTTGGAGTTAAATACAAGCAGTGACACTGACTTGGCATCTCAGGGCCTGATGCCCTCCAGGCCTGTTCAGGTCTGATGTTCTGATTGTGGGCCCCAGAGATGGCAGCAGACAAAGGAAGCCCAGAGCATCACCCATAGTGACTGGGTGAGGCCAACTGGCTCAGCTCCATCCCTTTGGGTTCACTGTTCCTGGGCTGGCAGTGGCCTAGGCAAAGAAGTGGCCAATAAGGGAGACTGGGGAGAGATCTCTAGATAAAAGGTTTTCAACAATTTTCAACCCATAATGCCTAAATTACATTCCTAGGCTACATTCTCTGTAATCCCCCAGCCAGGATTTTCATTAGGTTTTTTTTTTTTTTTTCCCTAAGAGATGGGAGTCTCACTCTGTCACCCAGGCTGGAGTACAGTGACAGGATCATAGCTTACTGCTGCCTCAAACTCCCGGCCTCAAGTGATCCTCCTACCTCAGCCCCTGGAGTAGCTGGGACTGCAGGTGCATGCCAACATGCCTGGCTAATGTTCTTGGTTTTTTTTTTAGACTTGGGCTCTTGCTCTGTTGCCTAGGCTGGTAAGCTGAGAATCATGTCAAAATGAGGTGGTGCTACTAGGACCCAGACATCTCTTGCCATGGGAGTTCACAGGGTCCTATATGACTCCAAAACTAACAGCAATCTTTTTTTTTTTTTTTTTTTTTTGGAGATGGAGTCTTGCTCTGTCACTCAGATTGGAGTGCAGTGATGCAATCTCAGCTCACTGCAACCTTCGCCTCCTGGGTTCAAGTGATTCTCCTGCCTCAGCCTCCCCAGTAGCTGGGATTACAGGCATGCACCACCACCACGCCTGAGTAATTTTGTATTTTTTTTTTTTTTTGAGATGGAGTTTTGCTCTTGTTACCCAGACTGGAGTGCAATGGCACGACCTCGGCTCACCGCAACCTCCGCCTCCTGGGTTCAGGCAATTCTCCTGCCTCAGCCTCCTGAGTCGCTGGGATTACAGGCACGCGCCACCATGCCCAGCTAATTTAGTAGAGACGGGGTTTCACCATGTTTACCAGGATGGTCTCGATCTCTTGACCTCATGAGCCACCCGCCTCGGCCTCCCAAAGTGCTGGGATTACAGGCGTGAGCCACTGCACCCGGCCTAATTTTTGTATTTTTAGTAGAGACGGGGTTTCACCATGTTGGTCAGGCTGGTCTTAAACTCCTGACCTAGTGATCCACCTGCCTCTGCCTCCCAAAGTGCTGGGATTACAAGCATGAGCCACTGCGCCCAGCCAACAGCAGTCTTTTAAGTGCCAACCAAGTGGTGATGCTGTAGACCTTATAACCACCCCAATGGTAGGCAGGTACTTTACAGTGAGGCCAGGTAACTAGCTCCAGGCCACACAGCCACGCAGCGGTGCTCTTCCCTCAGCCATCCAGCTCTAGGAACCTACCTGAGCCGGCTGCAGTGTTGTAGTGAGTGGCTAAGGGGTTTCTGCCTTGGGGGCCTCTTCCTGCGCAGCCTCTTCAGGGCCTCTGCCACATGGTGGTCTCCTGCACATTCCCAGATGATCTGTGCCCGTTCCTCAGCCAGCTGGTCCCCGCTGCGTTGAAACAGGCCTTGGATCTGCAGCAGCTCGGCGTCCTGGAAGATGTTGGCTGAGGCCTGCTTGCGGCCCCGGGCTTCAGTTGGGGCCTGCCAAGGTGGTGGCTCACTGACCACTGAGGCTGGGGTCCCCATTGTGGTTGCTCTGAGGATGCAAAGCATGGAGACATCAGCAACTCAGCTGACCCTTCCCAGACCTGGGGGTCCTGGCTAATACTAGTGCTCCTGGTGTTTCCATTCTCCAGGAGCTAAACTGGAGGAGGTCTCTTGCCTTAGAATCACTTAAGCGCTTATGTGTCAGACATCTATATTATCTCATTTAAGATTCACAGCAACCATGGCCGGGCACGGTGGCTCAAGCCTGTAATCTCAGCACTTTGGGAGGCCGAGGTGGGTGGATCACGAGGTCAAGAGATCAAGACCATCCTGGTCAACATGGTGAAACCCCGTCTCTACTAAAAAAAAAAAATACAAAAAATTAGCTGGGCATGGTGGCACGTGCCTGTAATCCTAGCTACTCAGGAGGCTGAGGCAGGAGAATTGCCCGAACCCGGGAGGTGGAGGTTGCGGTGAGCCGAGATCGCGCCATTGCACTCCAGCCTGGGTAACAAGAGCGAAACTCCGTCTCAAAAAAAAAAATTCACAGCAACCTGTGAGGTAAGAATTATTGTTTATCCTCACAGATGAAGAATGGTTAAATGACTTGCCAGTGTCACAAAGCCACGTGCACGTGCAGACACAGGAGTGGAACCCAGGTCTGTCTAGCTGTAAGTTCCAGGCAGACACCAGGATGCCCAATAGCAGCTCAACTGTGTTGAGTACTTACACCAGGCGCCTGTAAGAGCTTCATTCACACAGTATCAATGAGATGTAACAAACACAACAGCCCTGGGAGGTGGGTATTTTTTTTCTCTGAGACAGAATCTCATTCTGTCACCCAGACTGGAGTACGGTGGTGTGATCTTGGCTCACTGCAACCTCTGTCCCCTGGGTTCCAGAAGTCTCCTGCCTCAGCCTCCTGTGTAGCTGGGATTACAGGCTTGTGCCAGCACGCCCGACTAATTTTTGTGTTTTTAGTAGAGATGAGGTTTTACCATGTTGGCTAGGCTGGCTTTGAACTCCTGACCTCAGGTGATCCACCCCTCTCAGCCTCCGAAAGTGCTGGGATTACAGATGTGAGCCACCGTGCCCAGCCAAGGTGGGTATTTTTATCCTCCTCATTTCACAGATGAGGAATCTGAGGAAAGGTTAAATCATCCATGGTTATGCAAGTAGGATGAGAACCCAGACCTCTCTGATGAACTCCAGCCCAGGTGCTGTAGCACACAAGTAAGAGGAGTTGTGGAGCTGGGCTACCCAGGTTGGAATCCCACTTCTATCCCCCTCCACCACTTACTAGCTGGACATCCTCCCTGCCTGAGCTGCCTCGTGTGTCAAATGATCACCTGGTACTAGTACCTACTTTGTAGGATTCATTTGAAGACTGAAGGAAGATATAAAGCATATAGAATAGTGGTCGGTGTTGAGATGTCATCCCACCTCCTGTTTTCAAGACCTTGGGGATGAACCAAATCCGTATAATTTAGCAAACATCGTATGAAATGAACCAATCATATCTAACCACTGTCCAAGGGACCTAATTGAGGGAGAGGGAGGCAGAAGAGGAGGCAACAAGTGTTAGAATATACTGCCAAGGGCAGAGGCTGAAATTGATAAGAAAGTTCAATAGAAGTTAGGCTCTCGTGTCAATGTCTCCCATTATATCCAGGAAGTGAAAATTAAATAATCTCCCTGATTCTAGATATAGTTCACTTTGAGTAATAAAGGCCTAAGAAGCAGGCCGGGCGCGGTGGCTCACGCCTATAATCCCAGCACTTTGGGAGGCCGAGGCGGCTGGATCACAAGGTCAAGAGATCGAGACCATCCTGGTCAACATGGCGAAACCCCGTCTCTACTAAAAATACAAAAAATTAGCTGGGCATGATGGCACGTGCCTGTAGTCCCAGCTACTCAGGAGGCTGAGGCAGGAGAATTGCCTGAACCCAGGAGGCAGAGGTTGCGGTGAGCCGAGATCGCGCCATTGCACTCCAGCCTGGGTAACAAGAGTGAAACTCCATCTCAAAAACAAAAAAAAGGCCTAAGAAGCTTACCCACCTTATTCCTGTCTCCTGCACAGCCTGGAAACAAGGGAAGACTGGCATTACACAGAACAGGGTTTGAATCCCAACTCTGACACCTTCAGCAAGTTACCCAACCTCCTCTCTGAGCCTGTTTTCTTAACTGTAAAATGGAGATAAGATTACCCACCTCTTAGGGCTATAGTAAGGATTAAATGAGCCTAGTATATCAGTCACCCAATAAGAGCTATAGCTGGCCTTCAGCATCTGTGGGTTCCACATCCAGGGATTCAGCCAAGCTTGAATAAATAAAAAACTTAAGAATACAATGATACAACCATTTAAAAATATAGTTTAACTACAGAGCATTCACATTGTATTAGGTATTACAGGTACTCTAGAAATGATTTAAAGTACACAGGAGGATGTACACAGTCTATACTTAAACATGGCATTTTAGGCCGGGCGCGGTGGCGCAAGCCTGTAATCCCAGCACTTTGGGAGGCCGAGGCGGGTGGATCACGAGGTCAAGAGATCGAGACCATCCTGGTCAACATGGTGAAACCCGTCTCTACTAAAAATACAAAAAATTAGCTGGGCATGGTGGCGCGTGTCTGTAATCCCAGCTACTCGGGAGGCTGAGGCAGGAGAATTGCCTGAACCCGGGAGGCGGAGGTTGCGGTGAGCCGAGATCGCGCCATTGCACTCCAGCCTGGGTAACAAGAGGGAAACTCCGTCTCAAAAAAAAAAAAAAACATGGCATTTTATGTAAGTGACTTGAGCATCCAAGGAGGATCCTGAAACCACCCTCCATGGATACTGAGGAATTTGTAAATGCAAATCCTCTTTTGGCCTCTGTGACTTTTGCACCTGGGTCAGGGGTACAGGTGAACCCTCCTTTCCTCCAAGCTGTGTGGCCACAGCCAGTGGAAGTCAGGCCTGTGGTCCCACTCTCCTCTCCCAGCCCCAAGCCTGTTGGGGAGAGGAGGAGCAGGTCCTGCTGCTTCCCCAGGACCTGGCTGCCTGAGTCAGACCTCATTCCACAGCCAGCTACAGAGACAGCTGTCAATAGCAACCAGCTTACAAAGGGGGAAAAGGAACATTAAAATATGTTTAAATTAAAATATTTACATGCTCAACCTAAGAGGCAAACAGTACAAAGGCTTATAAATAAAAGCTTTTCCAGTTTCCTATTGACTCACTTGCAGAAGTAACCCTTCCCTTAACCTGCCTTTTGTTCTCTGTAAGAGTTTGAGTTGTCTCCGCCCCACTCATACTCCCAAAATATGACTCACTCCCTCGCCCTGGCCTTCCCTGCTCCTCACCTCAAAAGTCACCCTCATTATTCCAGTCATTTCCACGCGCACCCTGTCCCAGTTTCCAGGCCTTCTATCATAAAAACCCCACCCTGTTTTCAAAAGATTGAACAACTAAAAGCTGCAGGTCCAGCATGGTGGCTCATGTCTGTAATCCCAGCACTTTGGGAGGCCAAGGCAGGCGGATCACAAGGTCAGAGTTCCAGACCAGCCTGACCAACATGGTGAAACCCTGTCTCTACTAAAAATACAAAAATAGCCGGGCGTGATGCTGTGTGCCTGTAATCCCAGCTACTCGGGAGGCTGAAGCAGGAGAATCACTTGAACCTGGGAGGCAGAGGTTGCGGTGAGCCGAGATCGTGCCATTGCACTCCAGCCTGGGTGACAGAGCAAGACTCCATCTCAAAAAAAAAAAAAAAAAAAAAAAAAAAAAAAGCTGCAGAAGACTTCTAGATGAGTTAATGTATAAAAATTGTACTTTTTGTCTGGAAAATGGGAATTTTAAAATCTGCCCCTCCTTAGGTGCTATTATGAAAATCCAGTTAAAACCTAATCTATGTGGTAAGTAAGCCCCCAGAGCTGGATGACAAACACACTGTGACCAGAAGACAACAGTCACCAAGTCACACTTTCAGGCTAATAAAGATAAATAAAAGCTAACTCTGGGATGTTTACTCTGTATCAGGCAATACGGATAATATCCTTTTTTTTTTTTTGGATGATATCCTTTAATCCTCAAAATATAATTCTAGGAGTTAGGCACTGTTACTCCATTTCATAGGGGAGTAAAGGGAAGCTGAGATGCAAATATGAGTACCAGTGGCTCAGCGGAGGCCAGAGGTGGTTTAAATGACTGTAGCCCACACTTTTTATTTTATTTTATTTTTTTTGAGAACAAGTTTCGCTCTTGTTGCCCAAGCTGGAGTGCAGTGGTGCAATCTCAGCTCACTGCAACCTCCGCCTCCTGGGTTTAAGCAATTGTCCTACCTCAGCCTCCCAAGTAGCTGGGATTATAGACATCCTTCACCACGCCCAGGTAATTTTCTGTATTTTTAGTAGAGACGGGGTTTTACCATGTTGGCCAGGCTGGTCTTGAACTCCTGACCTCAGGTGATCCAGCCACCTCAGCCTCCCAGAGTGGTGGGATTACAGATGTGAGCCACTATGCCCAGCAAGCCCATGCTTTTAAACCTCCGAGCTGACTTCACAGCCAGGCAGCTTCAAGAACACTTCACGTTTCTGTGAAAAGTACTTTCTTATTCCCACCTAATTCTTGAAGGGGAAGTCCTGCCAATGGAAAGGGAAGGACAATGAATTATCCCACCTGGGAAGGTAAGGGTGGAGCTGTGGAATTTCTTTTAGTCTATTCACTAGGGTCAGGGCTCTTTCCTAGGTGACAGCTAGCCCAGCCTTGAAGCCGCAGCACTCTAAAGAGCAAGAGCCAAGCTTCCACAGAAGAAATCTAGAAAGGCAACCCAGCCCAGTGCACAGAGCCCTGGCTTACGAGTCAGAGTGGGTTCAAGTCCTGCTTCTGCCACTCACTGGCTGAAAGGCCTCAGGCAATTCACATCCCCTCTGTGGATCAGTTTCCCTGTTACTGCTGTAAGAACAGGTTGATGCTGATGGTTTCTGAGGGCCTGCGCCAGTGCTGGGAGCCAACATTTCCATAGACAGGTAAGTCTGTACAGAAGGAGGAATGGAGCTGCTTGTCTGCCAAAGCCTAGGGGCAACATGTGTGAACAGGTCTGGCTAACTGGGTGCTAGGACATTCCCCAGCCAGTAGCTCCCTTTCTCCTCCCTGCTCTGCTGTTTTGCTGCAGTGGGCAGAACTCACTGCTCTAAAGCTCCCTAGTGACCTCAGTTGGCTATGACCACACCAGAGGAAGACTCCTAGGCTGGTCTGGGGTTGTAGGAGAAAGGGTGATATCCGGCCTCACTTCCCCAGGGAAAGAAGGGCAAGGCGGATCAAGTAGCAGCAGCTGCCTCGGGAGGAAATGGCTTGGAGCCTGACTTCCCAGCAACTTCTGCCAGGATGGCAATGGCTTGACTCCACAGCTTAGGCAAGCTGCATTACAAACACACCAAGAAATGCCTGGGGAGAGTCTGAGCCTCCAGCCTCAACCATACCCTCCATGAACCTTGGGGAGGACTCAGCACATCCAGATTTGGGGCCCCTCACTTTTTTTTTTTTTTTTTTTTGAGGCAGTCTCTATCATCCAGGCTGGAGTGCAGTGGTGCAATCTCGGCTCACTGCAACCTCTGCCTCCAAAGTTCAAGCAATTCTTTTGCCTCAGCTTCCCAAGTAGCTGGGATTACAGGTGCCTGCCACCATGCCTAATTTTTGTATTTTTAGTAGAGACGAGGTTTTGAGGTTTCACCATGTTGGCTAGGCTGGTCTTGAACTCCTGACCTCAAGTAATCCACCCACCTCATCCTCCCAGAGTGTTGGGATTACAGGCGTGAGCCACCGCGTCCATCAGAGACCCCTCACTCTTGGCTCTGCCTCTTATTCTGGGATTCAGACAGCAGAGTGAGGCTGGGAATAAAAATAGGCAGATTCCAGGTAGGATTAGATTGGCAGGCTTTATGAACACCGACTAAATGGTGAATCAGAACACTTTTATTATCAAAAGAAACTTTTCTTGTCTCATTCAATGTGTTCAACAGTTATTTTCCCTCAAATTTCCTGGACAAGACCTTAACATTGTTCAAGTATATTGTTTATACTTGAACAATGGTTCTTTTGAAAACTAGAAAATGAAACCATGGGGCTATTAAAAGATTACAAATGGATCTTTCATTTCTGAGCTGACATAAAAGAAGCTAAGCATGGGTATGTGTACAAATGAGTAAAAGCCAATTGCAAAATACTTCAATTTGACACAAACTAGGTTGGAAATGAACCCCAAAGGAAATGCCAAACATTGAAAATGACAAAGTTCAACTTGATTTGAAACAGGCAATAAATGAAGAACTGTGGAACCGTAACAAAGAAATATATTTAAAAAGTGACTCACCATGCAATGAATTTGCAATATATAAATATGGTGCGCTTTCTGTAATACACGAAGTTCAGTACAGGCAGCTATTCTAGGTGAGTATCTCACTGTAGTCCCAAGGAGGCACGGAAACCACGAGGCAGAACACATTTGGTTGAGTTGGCAACACCTGGGTCCTCACACAGCTGGAGGCCCCCTTCCAATAACCCAGGTGACAGCAATAATCTCTGTAATCAGGGACCTAGAGCCTCATAGAAAAATTACTGGAGCCTCTGGCCCAAAGCCCAAATCAACACTTGGGGCCCTGGCCTGCTACCCTACACAAACATGCCACTGGACAGCAGCCAAAATCTGTGGCTCCTCAAATGGGAAGCCCAGTTCAAATGGCTGTGTGCGCTTCCCCACCAGCAAGGCCTAGCCTCAGGCAGGTATGCCTAGAGAACTGGATATACATTGGCCTTCAAATCTGTGTCCCAGGAGGTGGAGAAGGGAACTGGGCCCTTTCCCCAGACCAATTCTCATATATGACCTGGAAATAAAACTCTACTAGATCTAGGGATAACCCTTTTCAAGAGTTCTAGAACCCTGAATTCTGGCTGTGCTGCTAACTGACCTTGGATAAGTCTTAGTTTCCCATGCTACAAGTTGCTCATCATCAAAATGGTGCGAATAAGGCCAGGCCCGGCGGCTCTTGTCTGCAATCCCAGCACTTTGGGAGGCTGAGGTGGGAGGATCACTTGAGCTCAGGAGTTCGAGACCAGCCTGGTCAATATAGCATGACTGTCTCTACAAAATTTTAAACAAGCTTTTTAAAATAAATGGTGAAAATGAATAACCCTTGATGGGAAAAGGGAGATTGCGAGGGCATTCCTACTAGCACCTGGTATACCACAGACGTTCTATGTATGCTGATTGAACACATGATGAAGGGAAAGGCTGTTTGACTACCAGGGGCTATAGAATCATTGTCATTTTCATCATCACTGCCATCAGCAAACCTGTGTAGTTTTTTTTTTTTTTTTTTTTTTTAGACGGAGTTTCACTCTTGTTACCCAGGCTGGAGTGCAATGGCGCGATCTCGGCTCACCGCAACCTCCGCCTCCTGGGTTCAGGCAATTCTCCTGCCTCAGCCTCCTGAGTAGCTCGGATTACAGGCACGTGCCACCATGCCCAGCTAATTTTTTGTATTTTTAGTAGAGACAGGGTTTCACCATGTTGACCAGGATGGTCTCGATCTCTTGACCTTGTGATCCACCCGCCTCGGCTTCCCAAAGTGCTGGGATTACAGGCTTGAGCCACTGCGCCCGGCCCTAAACCTGTGTAGTTTTAAATCATAGCTTTATGACTGAACTCATTGAGGCAGCTTGTTCAGTGTCAAGCACAAGAACACAGCACGTTCAGATGGGTGCTTTCTTTCTTCCTCACATGAGGTAGCACTATTGTTACACCCATTTTACAGATGAGAAAGCTACACCCAAAGTCACACAGCTGGCAGGTGATGGAAGTTGGGACATGAACTAGGCAGATTGACCCCAGCACCCGGACTCTCAACCACTGTTATTTTTGTTCCTGCCAGATGGCTGAGGAGGTCTTCTGGGCAAGGTCGGGCCCAGAAGCCTTTCGGAGGCTATCTGCTTCTGTGGATTGTGGAAGAAGCGGGGATCCAAGGTCAGGACTCCCAAGCCAGCCTCTGTGCCCTGTGCACTCCTTCGCCTCGCGGAGAATTGGAGCAAGTACTCACCACGCTGAAGGGAAGCTCCGACAGACCTCGAATGGGGATGAGACAAGGTAAGATGCGCCCACTCCAACCCCTTCCACAGCCTTCCGAAAGGGCGGGCGCAGCTCTGGGCTTCCTGCTGCGAAGGTGCCCACAAGGGCCAGGCAGTGCTCACGGGCAGCACAAGAGCGTGGGAGACGGTATCCTGGCCGAGCTCCTAAGGCGACATCTCCAGCACGAAGAGGCCCCGGAGCTCAGATGTGGCCGCTTCTCAGAACGACGGGGCCCTAAGTGGATCTGGCGGTTGTGTCCCAGCGGCACCCCGGCTCCCACCGCAGCGCCGAGCCGGGCTGCCGATCTACGGACCGGGTTGCTCCAGGGGGGCCGCACGCGGCCGCAAGCTGGTCCGAGCCACCTGGGTCACAGCAGCGGCTGCCGGGAGAAAGCGCTCCCCAGCCCCGGAACCGCCAATCCTCGGCCGGAGTTGGGCGTGAGCTCCCAGGAGAGCCTTCCAAACCCAAGGCGGAGCTCCGTGCGCCAATCAGCGGCGGGAGACGGGAGGGGGCGTGTCCATCCCCGCCCCCGCCCCCGCCCCCGCTCCCGCCCGCGCTGGCCTGGAAAGCCGAGTGCGAGGCTTCCTCGAACCTAATCAGCTGCGGAGCTGCGGCGGGGGGCGTGTCTGCCCGGGCTCTGCCCACCGCCCTAGCAGTCCTCGCGCGGCGCCCGAGGCGCCCCTTTCATTGACGTCAGTCCCCACGGCCAGCCCGGTTTTGCTGGCGCGGGAGCCGGGCGGGGCTACATTCCTGCCCCAGGGTGCGGCGGCCGCTGGCCCTGCAGGGTACACGTGACGGTTGCCCCTTCTCCTGGGCCCGAGGCCAGCAGCGGTGGCGCGGCGCCGACCGCCTTGCAGCGCGTGGCCCTCTCAAATCCTCAGACTCTGCCGCTCAACTCCCCTCCTAGCGCACTTGCGTTTGGCTCTGGCTTGGAGGGAGAGGAGGGGGCAGTCGGTGATGCAGTCAGACCTTGGGCTTCAAAGCCGGAATGTCGTGGGTTCAAATCTTGAGTCATTTGTGCGACATTGGGCCTGTTACCTAAACAAGACAGTATTTCAAAGTTGGTATTCGTTCGGAAATGTTCATTAGTGACCTATGCTGTCCGAGTTCCTTGATAGGCAGTAAACAGGAGAGACAGAAAGACCTATAGCCCTTATCCTGGGGCGTCTACAGCCTAGTAAGGGAGGCAGACAGTAAACAACCTAAAAAAGTATGTGATTAATTAAAACAGTATGTGATTAAACAACCTAAATTAGTATGTGATTACAGTTGTGATCAATGTTATGGCTAGAAGAGAACAAATATGGAGGAACCTAAGCTTCCTCTGGAGGTTCAGGAGGCCTGAAGAAGCAACATTTAAGCTGAGATATAAAGGAGCTGAAGTTGGTCAAATGAAGAGGAGTGGGTATGGGGAGAGTGTTTTAAGGAAAGGGGAAGGACACTTGCTTGGGCCAGGAGGTAGCTTGGCTCTGGAGGAATTCAGGGCGATCTGGAGTAAGGCTAGCAAGAGAGAGCGCGGTGGGAAGCAGAAGGCAGAGGCAGGCAGAAAAGGTTGCATGTGATCCTCGGAGGTGTTTAACCAGGGAATGGCATTATACGTACTGTGTTTATGTAATGGGCATTTTATAGTACTTACCACCCACATGCCAGTAGTGCCAGTCAGCACTTTGCAAATACTAGCTCATTTCATCCTCATGACAAGTTCGTGTTTTTAGAGGGTTACTCTGGCTACAGCTTGGAACTTGGATTGGAGGGGGCAGGGGTGGATACAGGGTGTCCAGCGGGCCTCATAAAATGCTTGTTTCATCTTTGGAAGATGAGGTGTTCGAGCACTTGTTCGGCGATGCTCAGGAAAGGCTCCTGGGTCTCCCTGACTTTCTTTTTACTTCATAGCTGACTTCTTACCCATTCAAGCTTGATTCTTCATCTGTAAAAGTTTTGGGTGGGAAGGGGAAGAGCCAGCACATGGGTACTTGTGAATTCCTTGTTGCAGGGTGAAGGGGTTAAGAACTATTCTTCCTCATGCCATTACCTCCAGTTCCTCTCTCTGTCCTTCTGCACAAAACACCATTAGTAAGTGTTGTGCTGTGGCTAACAGGTTTTTTTTTTTTTTTTTGAGACGGAGTTTCGCTCTTGTTACCCAGGCTGGAGTGCAATGGCGCGATCTCGGCTCACCGCAACCTCTGCCTCCTGGGTTCAGGCAATTCTCCTGCCTCAGCCTCCTGAGTAGCTGGGATTACAGGCACGCGCCACCATGCCCAGCTACTTTTTTTTGTATTTTTAGTAGAGACGGGGTTTCACCATGTTGACCAGGATGGTCTCGATCTCTTGACCTTGTGATCCACCCGCCTCGGCCTCCCAAAGTGCTGGGATTACAGGCTTGAGCCACCGCGCCCGGCCAGGTTTTTTTTTTAAATCTCACTTTGTCACTCAAGCTGGAGTGCAGTAGGACAATCTCAGCTCACTGCAACCTCCGCCTCCTGGGTTCAAGCAATTCTTCTGCCTCAGTCTCCTGAGTAGCTGGGATTACAGGCTCCATACCCAGCTAATTTTTGTATTATTAGTAGAGACAGGGTGTCACCATGTTGGCTAGGCTGATCTTGACCTCCTGACCTCAGATAATCTACCCACCCTGGCCTCCCAAAGTGCTGGGATTATAGGCATGAGCCACTGTGCCCAGCTGCTAAAAGTGTTTTAGCAGTAGTTTCTCTTCACTTTTCCTAAAGCCATGGGGAACTGTTGAAAAGAACAAATAAATCAGCAGTGTTCATCTGGGGTATTGGTGCAGGGACTTTCAGCCAATTACTTGGCTAAGGAGGGGACTGTGCAGGCTCCTAAACCAAAGGCTGAGCTTCTGAGCCAGTGACTCTCACTGGCCCATTCTAAGCAGTAGGGAAGCCAGACTCTTGGCATAAAGGTGCTGGGAGAACCTAAGAATTCTGATGCCATGAGCTTAGATGAGCATCCCAAGGTAGGAACTGGAAACTTGTGGTTTCTGGGTCAGATGTGACTAAGGCTGGGTGGAGAATATCTGGTGTCTCCAAACATTTTTGCAGGCATGTGATCATGTGCTTTCCACACGATGGAACCATTTCTATTGTTACAACTTTGTGATTCAATACTTCTGGCGAGAAGTTGGGGCACTCCACAGTCATGTGGGCCATGAAAGCCTCGGAGTGGAGTCATCCGAGACCCACAGAATGGTGCTGGAGACAGTAATCATCCCGGACAGGGCTCTATGTAGAGAAGGTCAACTCTGGGGAGTAGGAATCTCATGAAATTCAGGCCCAAGCTTGATTTTACCCAGGGCCCAGATTGAAGTGAGTTGAGTGAGGAACTCCCTTCAGGCATAAAATTTAAGAGGGCACCAAAAACTCAGGAGATCCAAGATAAATAATATTTTTTTTTTTGAGACGGAGTTTCGCTCTTGTTACCCAGGCTAGAGTGCAATGGCGCCATCTCGGCTCACCGCAACCTCCGCCTCCTGGGTTCAAGCAATTCTCCTGCCTCAGCCTCCTGAGTAGCTGGGATTACAGGCACGCACCACCATGCCCAGCTAATTTTTTGTATCTTTAGTAGAGACGGGGTTTCACCATGTTGACCAGGATGGTCTTGATCTCTCGACCTTGTGATCCACCCGCCTTGGCCTCCCAAAGTGCTGGGATTACAGGCTTGAGCCACCGTGCCCGGCCGATAAATAATATTTTAACACAATATTTTTAAAAACCAAAATTAATGCAAAAAACCCATGCTGAACAGAATGTCAACATTTAAAATATAGGCAGGCTACTGCTTATGACCTTGCATTGTTTTGCAATGGGACCACTCATTACCAATCAGCCCAAGGTTCCCAGGCAGACTGCCACTGCATGTCCTGACAAGTGACTTTGTGAGAGTCGACAATAACATGTGAACAGATTGAATAACATAGAACTTTATATGTAGTCATTTTTTTTTATTGTAATGCTTACATCCACTTTTTCTGTTTGGTTTAAAATACGGAAGGTAAGTGCATATAGGGCATATATTTTTTCTTTTTTTTAAGATGGGGTTTCACCATGTTGGTCAGGCTGGTCTTGAACTCCTGACCTCAGGTGATCCGCCCGTCTTGGCCTCCAAAGTGCTTGGATTACAGGCATGAGTCACCACACCCGGCCCTGGCATGTATTTTTTCTTTTGTCTTGGGCTCCAATATGGTTCAACTCAGTACTGATTTTCATCCTCAAGGGAAATATATATAGTCTAGGAAGGGGGTTCTAGCTGTTTAACCTTAAGCAAATGACTTAATCTCTCTGCCTTTTTTTTTTTTTTTTTTTTTTTTGAGACAGAGTTTCGCTCTTGTTATCCAGGCTGGAGTGCAATGGCGTGATCTCGGCTCACCGCAGCCTCTGCCTCCTGGGCTCAGGCAATTCTCCTGCCTCAGCCTCCTGAGTAGCTGGGATTACAGGCACACACCACCATGCCCAGCTAATTTTTGGTATTTTTAGTAGAGACGGGGTTTCACCATGTTGACCAGGATGGTCTCGATCTCTCGACCTCGTGATCCACCCGCCTCGGCTTCCCAAAGTGCTGGGATTACAGGCTTGAGCCACCGCACCCGACCTCTTTTTTTAATTAAAAAAAAATTTTTTTTTTCAGAGACGGGGTTTCACCATGTTGGCTAGGATGGTCTTGATCTCTTGACCTCGTGATCCACCCGCCTCAGCCTCCCAAAGTGCTGGGATTACAGGTGTGAGCCACTGGCTTTTTTTCTTTTTCTTTTTCTTTTTTTTTTTTTTGAGACCGAGTTTTGCTCTTGTTGTCCAGGCTGGAGTGCAATGGTGCGATCTCGGCTCATTGCAACCTCCACCTCCCAGGTTCAAGTGATTCTCCTGCTTCGGCCTCCTGGGCACCTGGGATTACAGGCGTGTGCCACCACAGCCAGCTAATTTTGTATTTTCAGTAGAGATGGAGTTTTTCCATGTTGGTCAGGCTGGTCTCAAACTCCCGACCTCGGGTGATCTGCCCGCCTCGGCCTCCCAAAGTGCTGGGATTACAAGTATGAGCCACTGCACCTGGCCTACTGTCTCTCTGTTTTCTTGTCTTTAAAATGAGAAGAATCATACCGCTTTTCAGTGTTGCTATGAGGAAAAGATGAGGTACTGTAGGCTGAGTTCTTAATATACACCTTGCTATAGACACGAAAGCAGCATTGGACGCCTTCCCTTTTCTAGCCTGCAGGAATGATTCAAGCAGCTGGACAGTTATGGTCTCCTGATGGGGTTGACACCTATTCCCATGGGTTTCTTATTGCTATTTGTCCTGTTCTGGGCAAAGGAGAGAGAACTTTTTCACTCAGCTGACATGCAACAGTGCAACTTTTGAATTCACTCTGATTTTCTTGATAAATAATCATGGACATTCTCAACTTTTTAAGAAAGCCCCTTCTACTTATGACATTACACAAGGCAACTAGACTATAACCCTCTTCTGTCAACTGACAGTCTGGACAGGCCAAAAACAGCAAAGTCCTTATA